AAAAAAAAAAAAAAAAAAAAACCACAAGAAAACAAAAATACAAAAATTAGCTGGACGTGGTGGCAGATGCCTGTAATCGCAGCTACCTGGGAGGCTGAGGCAGGAGAATCGCTTGAACCCAGGAGGCAGAGGTGGTAGTGAGCTAAGATGACACCACTGTACTCCAAGCTGAGAGACAGAGGGAGACTCTGTCTCAAAAAAATATATGAAATAAAATAAATAAAAAATAAAAATAAATTGTGAACCTGAGGATTTAGGGGGAAAAATGTGTTTCCATTAGAGGTCATCCAGAATAGGGCTCCCTGACCCCTGGGCCGCAGACTGGTACTGATCTGTGGCCTGTTAGGAATCAGGCCGCACAGTGTGGGGTAAGGGGCGAGCATTACCTCCTGAGCTCCGCTTCCAGTCAACTTAGCCCCAGGATTAGGCCTTAGATTCTCACAGGAGGGCGAACCCTATTGTGAACTGTGCATGCGAAGGATGTAGGTTGTGCTCTCCTTATGAGAATCTAATGCCTGATGATCAGAGGTGGAAGTTTCATTCCCAAACCATCCACCAGCCCTTTCCGTGGAAAAGTTGTTTTCCATGAAGTGGGTCCCTGGTGCCAAAAAGGTTGTGGACTGCCTATCTAGAATGGTAGAATCCCTCAGACGGCCATAAGGAGCTGATTTGGTAGTTCTGAAACGAAGGCACTCAAGGGTATGACTGCATAAATAATAAATGGCTTAAAAAAAAACCCTATTGCTAGTTTTCAGTGAAAGGATTTAGGAGAATGATATAGAACTAAATTTGTTTTCCTTTATTATTATTTTTTATTTTATTTATTTTTTTCGAGGTGGAGTCTAGCTCTGTCGCCCAGGCTGGAGTGCAGTGGTGCAATCTCGGCTCACTGCAACCTCCACCTCCCTGGTTCAAGCAATTCCCCTGCCTCAGCCTCCCAAGTAGCTGGATTATAGGCGCCCGCCACTACACCTGGCTAATTTTTTTGTATTTTTAGTAGAGATGGGGTTTCACCATATTGGCCAGACTGGTCTTGAACTCCTGACCTCAGGCAATCCTCCTGCCTCAGCCCTGCAAAGTGCTGGGATTACAGGCGTAAGCCACCTCACCCAGCTATTATTATTATTATTATTATTTTTACTAACAAATGTTCATCTTAATTTCATAAAATCTAATCACTGCCCTACTTTCAAGCTTTTGTCTTCAGAACCTTGCGAACATTATCCACTCCCAAGCCTTCACTTTCTTGTGCCAAAACTCCATTTGCATTTCCTTTGTCAAACTGGCTCTGTCACTCATGACTGCACTTTAACTCATCCTACACTCACCCACTTCCCTTTACAGTCTTTATTTTCAGCTCACTCTGCTACCCAGTCCTTGCCTCTTGAATCCCTCCCCCCCACCTCAAAATTTCCCTTTCTATTTGACCTTCACCACTACATTTCATCATTTCATCTCATCTTTCAAGCCTAAGACCACACGCCCATCCTTTCCAAAGCTCCAACTTCTTAATTTCTCCATAACAGGTCTGTCCGATTCCACAGTGCCGGTTCTCTTAACTCCTACATTTCTCACGACCTTGTATTTTCACTCTTGCTTGTTTTCTTTCTCAAGGTCTAGGTCAGTTATTTCCTACAGAAACCTGCCCAGATTTCATTGACCTATGGTTTTCAGTTCTATGAGCAAGCCACGGTTGACCACTCACAAAGGAGATTTATTAATAAGAAAGAAGTGCTCCCATGATAACTTATTGGTCACTGAATATGATTTAGCATACTTACATAAAATTCGGAAGTAAACAAATGTTAAAAGCAAAACACAATTATAATGGGATACTGATTGGAGGTAATAAAACCTCAAACTAATCATTTGAGAAATCAGATCAGTTAAAGTTAATTCTTTTTACCCTACATCAAATTGTTCCCTTTTGTCTGTCCAACTCAGAGGTTACCCTACATCAATAATTGTTGTTAGTGATAATAACAATTTGTTACAGATTTTATAAATCCATTCTTCTCAAATCTTCAATTTTGGTAGTTGGTGCAAAGTAGATATATCTGATTAAGAGAACAGCAGGCATTCTCGACCATTTAACACCCAAACAATCTTTTCTCTATGTATGTAGACCAGTACATTCCTTGTGGCCCCCAGGATCACATGCCTTTGTAATGATAATTTACAGTGAAATGAAAAGTACATGAACTGAGGGGTCATGTGAAGAGATGACCCTCTCTAGATTGGAAAGAATGACTACCTTCTAGAGACCCTGAGTGTAATTTCCTCTGGTTTCATTTCACCCAGACCCTCTACTTCAAGACCTACCCTACTCAAACAACATGTTCAGGATGCTTTCAACACACAGAGATGTAAATTATACAGCTAACAAGAGAAAATACTGAGGTTTCATTTACACTCAACTGTAACTCTGCAAGGGTGACGTTAGTGATTAAAAAAAAAAAAAAGGAACTGTTAGTCAATAGTAGGTATCAGACATAAAGATTGAAAACTATCACTACCCTATAGACTCCTAATTTTTATTTAAGCTATGTGTGAGATATTATTATCGTTGTTAGCAGCAGCAACTAAACATTGATTATTCTAGGCAATGTGTTAAGGGCTTTATGTGAGTTACTTCAGTTCATTTAGTTTTAACTACCCTGTGGAGTTGGTATTCTTATTATCCCTACTTTGAGAAAACTGAGGTTTCAAGAGGTCAGGTCATTTGCCTTTGGTCACACTGGTGGGGGGAGGAGGTTCATTTCCAGTTTGTCAGATTCCAGAGCCAACGCTGAAATACCTCATTCTACTCATGATCAAGTTTTGCAGCTCTTGGCTTATTAGTGCATTACATCCCTGTAGCAGGCATTCTCTGAAGCCAAACACAGATCATAGAGCTGCTGGGAGGCTCCTAAAGTTTCTTGTGACCTAGAAGAGAAGTACATCTCTCCAGGGCCCAGAGCAGACACTGACTGATCCTCCTCAGGGCTCAGTTTTGGACTCAGAAGCCCCCTCAAAATAATGCTCCACGCTTTGGAGTTGTCATAAAAGGTGAAGCCTATTTCGCCTATTTCCCATCCCTGGCCTAGAGGATGAGGAGGTTCAAACACCTCTTTGTAGCACAACTGTGTCAAAATCCTTTCCAATTTTTTTTTTTTTTTTTTTTTTTTTTAGACAGGGAATTGCTCCATCACCCAGGGTGGAGTGCAGCGGTGCAATCACAGCTCACTGTAACCCCAAACTCCCCGCTCAAGCAATCCTCCCACTTCAGCCTCTTGAGTAGCTGGGGCTACAGATGTGTGCCACCACGCCTGACTAATTTTTAAATGTTTTGTAGAAATGCGGTTGCTGTGTTGCCCAGGCTGGTCTCAAATTCCTGGGCTCAAGCAACCCTCTCTCACCTTGGCATCCTAAAGTGCTGGGATTACAGGCATGAGCCACCAAGCCCAGCCTCCAACTGTCTTGTATTTGAACAGAATTACTCATTTATTTTTAATATACTTAAAACTATCCTCTCTCACTGAATCCTTATAACAAATTTGTGAATTAAC